AAGTTCGAGATACGATGACAACCAAATCTTGTCTGCCGAAGATAACCTGGACGGTACGCCGCATGAACAATCACAACAAATTCGACCTACCGGCGGTCATGGAGGTTTGCCTTCCCGAGGAACGCGACGACTGACCAGCAGGAAGGTTGGTCATTTTGGTGGTCAGGCCACAAGAGATTACGCCGCTTCCTGACATGGGAATCCCCCAATCGCCAAAGGTAAACGGCGTGGGCATTTCAGTGCAACAGCTTCGTGAACTGTCGCGCAAATGATACCCAGATGAAGATGAATGTCACTGTAATATATGGCACGAAAAATACGTCTTCTATGACCGCCGCTTGAAGTTCTTTGTAAAGGCTATATCGCGTCATGGCGTACGTTTCCACAGACAATGTTTTCACGCGAGGCTTGGCGCCACTTACACCACACTGCCGTCGAAAAATTGACATAGGAAACAACGAAGATGCGCTTGTTAAGCCTCTACGCATCAAACAGTTCACTCGTCGGCAGGACACTATTCCCTCTTAAGCAAATTCACCTACATACATGGGCGTCCTCTGACGGAAGTCTAAAGTCCCTACCGGACCACGTTCTTATTAGTCGCGATGACGCAGCTTGTTATTCGAGCCCGCGTCAGAAGTAGACCCTGCACTGGACCCGGTCACAATAAGACTGTAGCCAAACGTTGTCTACAATTGGAAGCATCACACTGACGACATCTGGTTTAAACATGCCAGCCTCTCGATGGTGATAATCTAAAATATGACACAGTGGTATTGTCAGATTACGAAAAGAAGGTAGATTGCTGTGCAAATGTCACCATCAGCTGGCAGTCTGGAAGTGATAAACTCAAGGAGACGTACAAAGACCTTGTAGATGCCATTCCAACGGCGATAAATGAAGTGATGATAAGAAAATAATAGCAAAACTGTCCTGGGTTACAGAGTACACCTTACCATTACAAAGCAGAGAGAATTCAGACTAATAAGTACTTGAAACCCAACTGTAACTTCGAGAGCTGCCAATCGCAGTATACCACAGCTACAGCGAGAACAGGCAACTTTGAATGGGGACAGAAATCAAGAAGATGGATAAGATAGTCAGAAAGCGTAACTACTGAACAGTGTTTCAATGAGTAAGACAACAGCATCGGGTAAGCAGGGGAGTCTAGCCGTCGATATCCAGGAATCCAACATTGTCGCAAACAATGGAAAATGAGAAGGAACACTTTAAACGATGGGCTAATGATTTCCAGGAGTTGAAAAACAGCCGTCGATTTAATAATTTCTTGGTGACACTACACATTTATGCATATCCACCTACAAAACTAGAAGCAGAAAATGCCACTACACCTGAAGAAAGCCTGCGGTCTAGACGGAATATGAAGGACATTGGGGGGTAGCATAAAAGCTCCATGACTTATTTCATCAAATACATACTTGAAAATGCTTCTCTGGAAAACAGAGGCGTTGGATAATTGTGTCCATATTTAAAGCGGGACTCGTGAAATAGCGTTCTAATTATCTTGATTTTACTCTACTGCCAACTACTGGGAAACCGTCTTCCGGGAATATCCTGAAAGGAAGAGGGAGACAGGACACCGTCCAACCAGACAGGCTTACGGTTCAGGTATTCTTGTCAATCGAAGGTCACTGAGTAATGTTGATGATTCCAGTTGTCTTTGTTTGCCAGTTTCCTCGACTTTAAGGCAGCGTTTGATTTAATACATCGACCAACGATGTGGAAGATCTTAAAACGCCCTTGCATACCTGAATCGCACGATCGCATAAGAAACGACTCTATCCTATTCTGGGCATAGGTTTCGCCGTAGACACGGAATTAGGAAGTGGATGTTGGCCCTGACAAACAAACTGCTTGAGCATACACCATTTACCTCAGTCCGTGAGCTTACCGCCTGAGAGCCGAAACACAGCATACACTGATCAGGAGACCAGAATGTAACAGAGGTATGGGCGAACAAGGCAGAAGCAGATCTGCTTTTTGAAAGATCACTTCCTTCTGCGATGCCTCATGGCAAAAGTGTTCAACTGCTGGGAATAGAGCTGATATCACAAGCCCCTAGTGCAAAGGGTTCGCTCAAGGTGAAGAATGTGACAAATACAGTCGTTGTAACGTTGCTAGTATCGGCAACGAAACGCAGAGTGCAGCTAAGAGAAAGCTTACCATCAGTATTTACTTTTATCGACGCTAATCATCGATCAAGAAAATATTGAGCCGACTGATCACGGAAACAAAGCCGAAAAATTTCTTTATGAAATGTTAAACCAGAAAAAAGTTCGCTTGTTTATTGTCGAAAAAAGATCACATTATTCAAGAAAACGGGATCCCGGAAGATAGCAATAATGATTAAACAAGATACGATTGACCTTCAGAAAATAATCGGTCCCTTCAGACCTGGATCGGGGTTATTCAAACATTGTTTTAAAAACAACCACCTTTCCCACGATGGCTAACTCTGAATCACCATTTAGTAGCGTCAGTGCAACCAACCTGATTTTAAACAGCAGGGTGATATATGAATGCTGAACAAATATGCTAAATTAGATGCTAAATTAGTAATTAGCACGAACAGCTTAACCGCTCCATGGTCTAGGATCTCCGTGGTTACGGTCCTTGGGTTTTACGCTGTGCGTACTACAAGGACTTGCCCCTGAAATACTGAATTAATATATCTACATACACAACTGTTCAATAAAGTGATGTGCGCTTCGCATTCACGTATTGCAGCTGACATGATATCGCAGAGATACGGTCTGCTTTTCTGCAAGTCTCTAGGGGCAAAGTGGCAGTGCAAGCACTGTATCCGAAAAAATAACTTACTCTGACTTGACACATGGGATGCCGCAAGAGGGTTACGGCAGCCCGCGTTTCCTCTCACCGTTTGCCAGTTTTTCTGTCTTGGGTAATGTCGGTTATGATTGCAAGTCAATCACAGTGCCACATTTCGCTCTCTGTTTGTGGCACATCTGCGTATTCGACGGTTCATTTCTGATGCCATTCACCCATTAAGTTGTCGGCATGTCTTTCGGTCTTTAGCAGAATAAATTCGAATCACTAAGAATCAACAGGCAGGTCAGCCGCTTGAAGTCCCGTCGCAGTACGCGACCGACAATCGACAGTTATAGTTTTTCATATTCGTCAGACGAAGAGCAGATATTCTTTTATGTCAGGCGAGCTTCATTCGTACTTTCTCTAACGCCCTATAGCAACTGAGCATTCGTACTGCCATAATTCAGTCTATAGCCGAGTATTCCACGCCAACATGAGCATTAAATACGCTTCCTTCTTGGTAAGGGTCCACGTTGCTGTAGCACACATCAGTATTGGTCGAATAGTTGTCAGGTATAAGAGGACTTTCACAGATCTGCTGTACTAACAGCAATTTCCAATGATTTTGCTGCAGCATGTCATATACGATTCGAGTTTTCCTGATTCTGGACATCAGCTTCACAGCTTCTATCATTAGTGATAATCGATCCAACATAGCAGAACCTGGCGACGCACTGCATATCTTTCCGTCAACTTTATAGTGTTAACATAGTGTTGCTGTTTCTGGGGCATACCGTGAAACGGGAACTTTGCATTTCGACAGTTTCGGTCTCAGCCCGTATTTGGCGCTGGCTATTCCTACTGTCGTCAATGCTTTCTGAAGCTATCCGGTTTCACTGTAACGACCGCAACGTCGTCAGCACAATCTGCATCTTGTAACCGGCGTCCTTTGGGCTGGATTTCTCCTCGTTATCAAAGTTTGTAAGCGAGTCTGTCATCACGGTGTCCCTGCAACAGCTGAATACCATCGGTCCGGTGACCGACTCCCACATCTCCGCTATCAACTGCAAAGCTGTCTAAAACTGCTGAACTTGTTTGTACTCCCGCCGTTGTCCTGGTATAGGTGTTTTTTCAACACGATGACAACTTTGTCTGGCACAGCGCCATTTCTTAACAACTCGTACAGGGTCCCACGGTCTGGAAAAGCCGCCTAAAAGCTGACGAAACTCAATGAACAGAGGTATGTGGTACCGGGAGTACGTTTCCAGGAAAAGGCACAATGTTAGAATACAGTAGATCGGCCCGGACGAAAGCCACGTTGTTCTTCTCTGGTAGTATTTTCTCTATGGAGTTGAATTCTGCTGATGGTAATTTCTTCAGTGACCTTTAACGCCTTGCAGAAGAGAGCGACTCCTCTGTAAATTTAAACATGAGAGCACCTTCCTCAGAATATGCATCAGAATAATCAGTGCTTGGCGCCTAGCTTCTGGTATTGTCTATTTTCTCAAAATCTTCTGCATGGTGTTTGGCAACGGCTGCAATCCTACATTAGGCATATGTTTTAACAGCTACACATGAAATTCATCTGGTCCAGCTACTTAACAACTCTGCTCATTTTTGAGAGCATTCATAATTTTTTGCTGGCTAGTACATCAACGCTACAGTCATAATTAGACAGCATACTTCGCTAAAATCTAGTCACTGGAGTACTTGGCGGGGGTCCATTCATAAGCTGCCTGAAATGTTCTCGAAATCGCTCCGTACATTTAAATCCCGTGAGCATGCCGAATCCACTCTCTGAACTAACGAACGACGGGTTGGTATTATTCCTTTCGCTGTACTGCCGGATTTAAGCAAACGGTAGTCTAAGGTCGTTGTATTTGAACGCGTTTTCCATAGAAGTAGCTCATTTTAGCCACATGTGTTATTTTCTTCAATCAGATGACATTTCGGTTCGGTTTCCTTCTCTTTCACCAATGCCTTATTTCCTGTATGTCTGGCTCTTCCCCGTCCGTCATCTTTGCTCCCAAAAACTGACAGATACGCTCTCACTAAAGTATTGAACTACTCTCGCTAGCGGCAGTCACTAAGCAGTTGCTGAAATCAACACACGTCACTGTCAAATGCCGTTCCAGTGTCTCAG